TTGCGCGCAGCAGCGCGCACCACCGCCAATCCGCAGGACTGACGTTCTGTGTGTCGTTCAACCTCCTCAAAGGTGAAGCGCTCGGAAATCGAGGAAGGGACATCTAAGCTGGCATACAGATCAGAAACATCCCATGCATCCTGATCAACATCTATCACTGAGACCCCGAATCCTGCAGGCCGCAAATCACAAATGACACCTCGCACGTCTATCGGCGGGGCTTGGTCAGTGTCACCCCCTGCATCATGAGTGGGTGTGACATAAGCAAGTGACGGGCAGCGATCGCCTCTGACATCCAAGTCTGATAATGCACTCGTGCTGGCAATCTGCAAACTACTGGCCGAGATGCGAAAACGCGCGGCAACCGCACTGATAACGTCCAAACCGGGGTGAAGTTCGGGTTGTAATACATGAAGCGCCCCGCGGAACCACACCGCTATGCTACCACGACAACGCCCTGTCGGGACTTCACTAAGGCTGAGCCTGTTAAAGTCCTGCTGCACCAGCTCGTCGATCGCATGGGAGTGCAGGGCACCCGCATCTCGCCGAGCGAAACGAAGCAAGTACCCGTGAGATACCTGCAACACACTATGTGCCGGTGCTGGGGACAGGGAGCCACCATTGTATACAACTACTTCCGATGGATCACAGTTGAAATCCTCATGCAACTGATCAACTAGTAGCTGCGGGGTGATGCCCCTGTCCAGTGTCGTAGCAAAGCATTGGCCTCCTACATGCGAGAGGTCGAGAAGAACTGCGACCCTGCCAAAACGATCCAAGCATTCAGGGCACGCCAGGAATGCAACAGATCCTGGGTTGGGTTGAGGGTGAACCGGGACCATGTGACGCAAGAAAGGGCGCCACTCACGCTCATGCCGTTGAACCTTGCTGAGCAGCGAAGCGATTCCCTGCCGAGCCTCAAAACGGATCGCATAATGCCTGGGCGTGTAGTGCGGTGCGTACACGGTAACCCCTAACCACTGCTCCCGACTAAACCCTTCAAGCAAACTCCTTGGTTGCGGCAAAGTGAGAAAATCCGATACCTCCTGACGGCCGAGATCCCATTCAGGCGTAACAGGGGTGCTCTCGGGAAACATCGGTGCAGCTTGTTGCAGCATGCTCACCTCAGACCACAATTCTGGAGGCGCGGACCAGACCTGTGTCGGAGTCTGAAGTTGCCACAGAATCCAGAGCCAAAATTTTACCCGAAAACCAAAGCAGGCTCCACCGCACACAGCCGGCGTTGCCCTCGGAGCTCGCGGGATCCTGCCCCAGTGAAGAATCTCCTGTCGAGGCTGGCCCACCTTGACCAAAATGGTGGCGGCTCGGATACAGAACGCAATCGGAGGATGCCTGCGACTGAAAGAGTGCCAACGGCTTCCACGACGAAGCGCAATGTAACACAATGCTACGAGGGAAAACCCACTAGCAACCAAGAGAGTGCGGGTAAGCGATCCAAGCAAAAGACCCAATGCTTGCAAGACACTCAAACACAGGTTCACCTGAAGAGGGTCGATGCTGCCATCGGAATCTTGCCATGGGACTAAGCATGAACCCGCAGTGCAAAACAAAGCTCCCAGGCCCTCACTTACAGACGGGCACCCCAGCGCCCTAACTGCATCTGTTTGGCACCTGAGCTGCAAAGGTCGACACTCATTACAGGACTTGCAGCCAAAACAGGCGCATTGAAGTCCATGTGCATGTGGCAGGGGATGACTTTGGAGCTCACAAACCCAGTGAGTCCAAGGCCACCGCGAGGAGACATGCGTGGCTATCAGTTGGGAGTAGCTACAAGCCCAGTACCTGTCCCAACTGACAGCCTTGCCCGACCTGAGGAGGATGGCAGAGGCGATAGAAGGCTGTACACACCCAGACTGCGGGAGCGGTGCTACTCCGACATCTGTACAATCCTTCTCAAAGCCTCTTTCAGAGTCACCGGTGCAACAGACGTCCGTGACGCGTAAGCAACACAGGCGTTCTTGACCGAGGGTCAGCAAGCCCCCCAGCCGAACATCCTGGTCGCCTCCGCCAGCACAGGTCTGAGCACCGATGATGTGCGTCACTCCATCCCTGCCAGCGCCGGCTCTCTCGGCGTAGCAAGCTCCTCGTCGGTGTCGTCGTCCACAACCTCGGCCGGCCTTCGCTGGCCAGGCGTCACCGCGGCATTCGCTGCCGCCTCCCTCTCGGCCTGAGCATGCTGTTCGGCCCTCTTCTTCTCGAGCTTGGCCGCCAGCTGCGTGGTGGAAGGGGATGCACCCTTCACAACACCCGTGGGCAAGGCCTTGATGGGACGCCTCTGCTTGATATGGCCCTCGCTCTGCTCCGATTTGGTGCTCCGCAGAACTGCATCGATGCCGACCTGCTCCGCGGGGCAGTGCGGAGAAGAAGGTGCGGGTCCAATCTCGCCCGGGTTCGGCATAGTCGAGTCGACTGCTGTCATTGGCATGCCGCCGGGCGGGGCAGGAGTGGGCGACATCGCATTGTATGCAGGTGCTTGCAATCTCTGTGCCGCTGCATCCTGTTCTCTGTGCATTCCCGCACTGCCAGGCACTGCACCCTCGGCAGGAAACGTAGCACCGAAGGCCTGCAAGAATGCCATCATGTCCGGAGTCAGGCGTCGCGAAGGGACCTCGGTGGGCCCCGGCTCTCCAGTCCCTGGGCGAAATGCCCTTTGCATGACTGCAGAAGCATCCGTCTCCTCTCGTCGCTCCTGTTGCCAGGCTCGGGTCATGGCATCCCATTGATCGTTCTCCCTCTCCTCGGATGCCGCCGCCACTTCCCGTTGGTGTAGTGAACGCAGGCTCGCTCGAGCGTCCTCCTGCGCTTGGACCGCAATGCGCAGCTCCTCGTCCAAACGCTCCATGTCCTTGTGGAACTTGTTGGACTCCTTGAGGTATGTTTTCCGCAGCGTATCCAAGTACGCCGCCCATTGGTTCTCGCGCTTCGTGCGGTTGGCGGTGATCTGGCGGACTCTCTGTTCCGCCCGTCGCGTGAGATTGACCTCCTCCTGAATTGCACTCACAAGCCCATCCTCTGGATCCACCGCCATCGGCGGCTGTCGGCCACTGCCTCTTCCGGATGGGTCCGGGGCCACCACCATACTGTCGTATGTGGGGAAACGGGCTTCCGTGCCCTTGTCCCGTGCTGGACGCGGCCAGTTGGGAGACCAGGCACCACGCCAGTATCCCTCCTTGCTTCCACGTCCTCGCTGCCTGTCGCCACGGCCCTCTCGCCATGTTGGTCCTCCCATTCGGCTGTATCGTGGCGCCGAGTGATGGGCCTCCAGCAAACGAAGAGCTCGTGCTGGTAGAGGAAGGTTGGCTCGTTGAGCCTTTTTGACCCTGAGTCTGGCCTTTGAGCGGTTGGCCCTTAATCGCCGATGCCAACCTGGGCTGCGCTTCTTCAGCGCGCCGTAAATCGTGCGATGGTACGCACTGGGGCTCTACGATTTTCCCTACAGCTCCTGCTGTTGGGCGATTCGGGCCCTAAAATAGTATTGGTAATTATTCAGGCTTCTATAGTAAGGGTTAGACTTGTTTTGATGGTGGTGTTCGAGGGCGCCTTATTTAGGGGCCCCTTGTAGGGGTGCTGATAATAAGGTCTATATTGCGGTCCCGTTTTGTTTTTGTATGAGTTTTATAGGGTTTTGGGGGTTTCTCCGATTCCCCGAAGTACAACGAGAAGGACAGGCACGGGCGAGCAAGATCTTCGGTGCTCAGGATTTAGGGCTTAGGGCTTGGGGGTATAGGATGTAGCATTTAGGGTCTAGGACTTCGGGAACCTAGGGTCTAGGATCTTATCGTAACCCCAAATCTCACTGCCAAATCACCTACACTTTTTGTTTATTATGGACTTATCTGATATTAGGGAACCAGAAAGATAGGTCTCTCAGGGACTAGGTAAGCCCTAGACCCCATCAAGCTTAGAGAGGAGTGTGTTCTCCTAAACCATACTTTGACCTTCGAACCCTTCACTTCGAAAGGATTTAGATATGGGAGTTTCCAAAAATAGGGTTTAGGGTTTAGGGTTTCTAATATAGCACACTAAATAGTTGGATCCTGATTCTAAATCAGGTACCCCTAATTTTCGGAAACTCCCATTTAGAAACTACAAGAAGGAACCTTCCCAAAAAGGTAGGGTTTGGGCCTGGCGGGTTAAGGTTAAGCCCTAAAGGCCCGAAAGGATATCCGGAAGAAATGGGTGCAGAGTCTCGTACTGTAGCCAGGGCACCTACTTGGAGGGTCGGGGGGCTTAGTAAGTAGGGTTTAGGGTTTAGGGTTAAGTAGTTATGTTATAGAGTATTTAGTACCATAACCCCAATCAGGGTCCCTATTAAGGTCCCTATAAGTCTATATAATGACTCCTTACTAAGTCCACCGACCCTCCAAGTAGCTGGGAAGACCAATACGCAATCCTGCAGAACTTTGAGAACCCAGAGACTCGGCACCGTTTAGGTTGTGTAGGCTTTGGGGTTTAGGGCCCATGGAGGAGTATGCTGTAGAAGTTAAAACAATTATGGATCTGAATCTTTCCACCATCTAACAGAGGTAATTAGATCATGTCCATTGTTCAATTAAGCGGTCTGTTGTCGTCTCGCACCTGACCCGAATCTCGAGGTTTCCGCAGTGCAGATGTTGGGGTTTGGACAGTGTGGTTTAGGTTTAGGGGAGTGCAGGAGCATGCTTTTGGCACTGTTCCTTCGTAGACCCGGTGTTATCGCTGTGGACTTTTCCACAACAAACGGAATGCTCGAGCTTTTCGATTTTCAACGGCTAGGTTAGGCCTGTTCTTAGGAACCTACGTCTGATTCTTCGGATTTCGAATCTGCGAAATGTGCGGGACAGAGTGCCAAGCCCCATACCAGTATACCCCCCAGTGTCCCTGCTGTCAGAAAAGCCAGAAACCACGACGGCCTGAAGCCTACAGTACCTGAAAGGGAGCAGAGCCCAAGGTGATCGTCGTTTGGAAAACACAGATAATCGTTCTTCGCCTATCGCAAGATGCTTAAGATCCTGGTCCGACTGCTGGTCGCTCGGCGTGCTTGGATGTTTCAAGTTTAGGTGCGCAGCTGCGCCGCGGGCCAGGGCTTTGAGTTTAGGGCGTTTCTCTTTTTCCGGGTGTGGGGTTTTGACAGACAGATATGGAAAGTTGCACCCGAGCCCTACGAACGCTGAGTTGCGACATCTTTAGGAACCATAACCTATCCCTAAGGGCCCATGTACTCATATAATATATACATTGGCCTTAATGTAGTCCCTATATACGTACTTTGAGGCTCGTGTATCTCTATATGCGTACATGGACCCTCAGGGCTATGGGTTTCAGTGTTGCCATGGTAAGCCTTGCCAACAAAACCTAGGGGCATACAGAAAGAGGACTAGCTCTGTTGCCAACTCGCAATGACAGAGAAGACGAATGAGAAGGAGTTGATAGAAGAGCTGGCCCGAATCACTGAAGTTCCTGCGGAAAGAACTCAACAACTCTGGGAACTGGTGAAAATGGACCGATTGTGCTGGCATTGTGCCCGTGTCTACTTCATCGAGTTCTTGGACTTCAAGGACCGAAAAGACTATGATGTCGTGGTTTCTCAAGGGTACGAATGTTCCTGCGACTCTTGCTGAGCAAAAGCAGAAGGGACAGCTGCCTGAGCCTGACACCCTACTTGGAGGTTCATGGGTAGTTATAAAGGTTCCCTTGAGGGCCCCCTTTAAAGGGATCTATACGGATTCGATAAGGGTATAGGGTAGTTATTATAAGCGGAGTTATAAGTCCCCTAATATGGGTTGTAACTCCACTTATCCTACTTCTAGCTTTATTTGTAACTACCCATGAACCTCCAAGTAAACCCCTAAATCCTAAACCCTATTGCTTCAGAGATGTCCAGTCTCGGGCAGGCTTGCCGAGATAAGCAGCAGGGAATTGTTGCGAACTTCCTAACTCGAATCCGTCTCCAGCCCCAACCTTAAACCCAAGAACCGACGTTTTTAGGGAATTATAGAAGGAAACCAGAATAAGGAGCCCCAAAGAAGGTATGTAAGTTATTTGGGGTCCAGGAAGCATCTTTCACGTGGCAAGGTCAGAAGAAGAACCCGCATAATGCTATACTTGCCCCGGACACCCAGCCGACAGCCGTGCAGACGCTGGACGGGTACTGCCCTAATCCAACAGCCCTACAGCCTTGTGTAAGTCTTTCTGCGATAAATCCTGTGCACCCGCTACTTTCTGACCACATCCAGATTTGGTTTTGACTACTTGCAGGTTCATGGGTATATAACTAGGATCATAAGTAGGAGAACTAGAGTTATAACCCATATTAGGGGACTTATATCCCCACTTATAACTACCCTAGACCCTTATAGAAGCATCCCTATAGATCCCTTTAAAGGGGCCTTCAAAGGAATCCTTATAACGACCATGAACCTCCAAGTAGGGAACCTCCAGACTCCTTTACGACCGAGTTAAGAACAAACAGGTCTGCACACGCTTTGGGGTTTAAGGTTCAGGGTTTGCAGTATTTTGAACACGACCGATGTAAGCCCTAAACCCTAAACCCTAAAGCCTAAACCCTAAACCGTCCTCTGGAAAGGGGCACATAGGCATCGATGGCATGATTGGGAAAGTAGGGTACTCGGTAGGTCCTAAGAGGGGTTCGCATCGTAGGGTTTACAAACTAAACCCCTGAACCCGGAACCCTGCATAAACCCGATGGGGACAGGGTTTAATGTTTCGGAGATTTCGAAGGGTCCATGTAAATACACTGTACACACCTCAGCTTCTTGTAGATCGAGGATACCTTGACCTCTAAGCCTTATACGGTCTAATTAAGCCCTATCACACCAGAAGCCCCTTCACATCCCCCCATGACAGTTGAGTGGCCAACTCTTCGGCCAAGCTGCCCGCCTGGACTCACACCGTGAGGAGCAGGACGGAAGGGTTCGGCATTCAGTACAGGGCTTACTGCTGTCGGGCCCTGAAGGTCTAAATTGTGGTTGGAGTTTTGCGGGTGTTGGGTGCAAGGTTAGGGTTTAGGGTAGAGTTGTCGGTGTGCGGTGTCGGTCCGGGGGTGACGGCTTCACGCCCAATACAAGACGATTGAGTTTTCGTTACATCTCGTGCTATACCCGACCTCATGCTGGCAAGTTTTGTGATTTGCAATGGCCGCCTTTGCATTCATGCATGGTTTCGGCTGCAGATGTGTTGGCTGCAGCTTAGATCCTATCTTGTAGGCGAGATCGAGGCATCGTTTTAGGGCTTCGGCACCAAACCTTGAACCCTTCCCCCGCCTACAGAAACCGGAGCCAATCAATACCAACACAGATATTGGTGGGACTAACCTTTGCATAGCCAATTAATACTGTGAAACAATGCAGCTGCAACTGTGCCTGTCATAGTGGCAGTAGTCGCCCGGGCTCGGAAATTTTCACCATAAGCCCAAAAGCCCACAACACTAAACCCCTTGTAGACACCCTTAAAGGGATCCTTAAAGAAACCCTTCAAGGAACCCTATACCTCCTAAAGCTGCAAGTGCGGCCTTTAAACTCCTATTATCGACCCCCTTCAAGGAATCAGCCCCCACGCTCTAACGATCGGTGATCAGGGCATCAGTAGTCACAACCCTCCCGCGCCCCCTGTTACGAAGCCGAGCCATGCACCTAGCAGGACGGTTTAGGGTGTGGATTACTGGCTATCGAGGGTTCAGAATATCCGTCGCAGGGACGGAATCGCTAGCTGCCCCAGTGCAACACGCACGCCTTTTCATCCTTCGCCTAGTTTTGAGCCACGGCTGGAGGATCGCCCGCGTGGCACCGTGCTAAGCGGAAATTCCGCTCACGTTGCCGCAAACGCCTTCACCGGCGAAGACAGACCGGCCTCAGGCCGCTTGCGAGAGACCTTCGGGTTCTCTCTTCACATCACTCAGCACCACCTTTCGGCTGGGGGATGGGTCGTGGCGGGCAAAAGTACAACGAGAAACCATGGCAGCCCCGAGGAGGACGATATGGACAGGGCTACGAGCAAGATGGTGCAAAGTGGTCCTTGTGGCCTGGGTCTTACAAAGCCTCGCCACGTGGCGGTCGTTCGGACAAGCCACAGACGCCGTCGTTTCCGGCGTACGATGCAGCATGGAAGAAGTCAGCCGAAGTTATGGAAGTGCCTCAAGCTCCGTCAGCTCCCTCTGGTGGGCGCGGTATTGTCCGCGACGTCCAGGGAGCTGTGAATGCTGCCAGAAAACTGGAGCAAAAGCTGGCCAAGACCCAGAAGGAAATGCTGCAGAAAGGACAGGCATGGGACTCGTGGGTCCTTTCGATGAGAAGCTCGTACCAGAAAGAATACGAGCGACACAGGGCAGAACAACGACGGTTGTCCCTCGAGATCAAGGACCTGGAGGAGCAGACTCAGTTTGCCTACTCCCAGGTGCAGCTGTGTGCCACCCACAAAGTTCCGACAGCTGCGGCGCCGCCCCCCTTGGATTGGGAAATTCCGGGTGTGGAAGAGGCTTTACCGGAGCTGACAGAGGATCAAACACGTGCGGAGCTGCAACGGATTTTGGCCAAAGCACCCCCGGGCTTGACTACGCCGACTCGAGCAGAGACTACGGCTCCCAGGTCTCCTACTGGGAATGCTGCCCCTACGGCCACTTCGGCAATGGAAGTGTCACCACCTGCCGCGGCTCCACGAGATCCCTACATCACAACCATGCCGCCTACACCGGCCCCACATGGTGCTCCTGGGAAGACTATGGGCCTCATCGATCCCCGACAGCCTCTGCCACAGGACAGAGCAACAGCGCCATCGGCGCTCGCAGACAAGCTATCCGAAAAGAGGCGAGCGTATCGATCAGCTATGGCTCCCTTCGGATATGTCCGAAAGCCCGACGTGGACAATATGGACCGAGCGGCCCTTTCGAGCGAAAGGACAGGCCGCGATACAGGCCAGCTCTTTGTGGACGACGACTACGACGATCTGCAAGCAATGCCATCCCCTGGCTTTGGGGCCATGGAGTGAGCAGCAGTAGGCAGAATTCCCAGCTGCAAAGTCCTGTTACCGCGGGGATCGACAGGCTACCAGGACCACCTGCAGTAGGAACTTCTTGGGAGAAGTTCCTTCTGCAAACGCTTCCTGTTGGCCAATGTCTCTCTTGCTGGAAACTGGACTGTGCGATCTGTGGAATTCTGCGGTCTCACGGTAGCTGGTGCTTTTCTTCCAGAGAGGCGATGCCTCTCTGGACCCCTGGGAGAGTAACGAAAGGTGACAGGGCAGCCCTCTCTTACCTCATCCCTACATTCCTGCCAGCCTGGATTTGGCTTGTTGTTACGAGGGACCTCATGAGACCCTTTGACTTGTCTCATCCCTCTCCTTTTCCCATGCCTGCATGTCCAAATGCGCCAAAAACGCGTATCGGTGGCTCTGGGACGCGTGCTACGGACAGGCAGGCTGTTTTTCATACTTCTTCTGTGCCGACTGCAATTTCTGCCCTTGGCTTTCTCGGAAGCGATCCACCTTTGTGTCGGTCCCATGTTCCCCTCCCGACCCTCTCGGGTTTAGGCCCCCACCTCTCTTCGGGTTTTCTAGTGCACTGCCATACTTTGCCTGTGATGGCAAGCTCCTCTTGGTCTGGGGACCAAGACGCTTCGTGGCCGCCAGGCCCGACAATCCTTTGGCTGCTCTCAGCATCCTGTGCTTCCTTTCGCACTGTGTACGGCCTCTTGTTTGGGGCACTGCTCATTGCGCACCTTCGCGTCCTGACTGGTCGCAGCCTTCGCAGCCACGGTACATCCAGTTCCGTTCAGGCAAACATGGTCACGCTGATTCGGCCTTTAGGCGGACTAGGCCTCATGTCACTTGACTGGACACTGCATAGCACTCGCAAACCTCGTGCAGTCCCAAGCAGGACACGAACTAGTCAATTTGTGCAGCGCTTCTTGAAGACTTTGTTTTGTTTTGCGTGGACCAGTTTTGGGTGCCTTCCGGTGCAAGCTTGGGCTGCCCCACCAGGGTTAACAACCCTTGTTGAGATGTGCACGGACATCACACTAGGGTTTCCAGAGAATCTGCCGCTCCCATCCAGGGAATCAGCAACGGCTTCGACGCATGCCCGGCTAGAGGACATAACTGGTGAGCATGTAACAGGTTCCGCTCCGGTTGCCTTTGGGGCTCTAGGCAATCGCACGGTTCACTGTTTACTCATGGCACCTGATTTTGTCTCTGAGCAGCTTGCCCTGACGGTTGAAGCACCAATTCTTACGGATGTTTTCATGTGCCAGGCTGTAGCGGAATCTCGCCTTTTGCCCAGGCTCTCCTCAGCCCACTTGGTACCGGTCAGACCTCAGCCTGAGGAAGGGTATGCTACGTTCGTTATCTGCCCTGACTGGACCAGCCCCGCTAGGAAGGCTTCAGTAATCCTCGACTTCTGGGACCTAGGAGGGCCGACTTATGCGCGCATAGTCAACCCCCAGCTCACTTTCAAGGACTTGGAGGACGAAGCCAGCCGGCACGGCTTCGACCGCTTTGACGCCTACCTAGGAGGAGACGACACAGTCCTGAATGCTGCTAGTGTCACTACTATCGAAGATGGCACTCTCGTTACCTTCATGCGTGTTGGTCTTCCACCTCGTTGGCATCAAGAAATCGACCGATTCCTAATGCAACCCGAGGAATGGATAGACAGCCCCAGGTGTATGCGTCTCGAACAACATTCCGACCACTGGCTTGTCATCAGGCCTGACTGCACCAAACTGATGGCATACTCCACTGAATCGGACTACAGCCTGCAAGAGGTAATTGCTACGCAGATGCACCAATACCCCATAAATGTTAATGTTAGGATGCCTGTTTCCGAGGCCAGGCTTGAAGTTGTTTTCGATGGATACCATGTATCCAAGATCATTGCTGCAACACCTCGGTCTGTTCCGGCTCCTGACAGGGCAGAGTCAGACACCTTCGTCTTTCTTGATGCCAGGCAAATGGGACAAGGCATTACCTTCCACCTGACAAGTACGCCTTTGCTCACCCTTCGTGAGGCTGCCGAGTCTTTGGACACCTCTGTAGCCCCAGGATTTAGAGTCTATGCAGAGCACCCCAGACTCCAGGTTGAGGGCCTTGCCGTATCCAACGGAGATGTCTTAACTCTTGGGTTCGAGTTAGACCCAAACCCTTCACATGCATGTGAACCGACCGGCACTGCTCCCATTCCGGCCGAAGTGCCGCATTTGGCAAGCACCTTCGATGAGCTGCCTTTTACCACAGGGCCGAGTGAGGCCGCCCGCCTTTACCCTGATCGCCCAGCATCTGTGCCAACCTCTCGCACGGTTGGCTGCATAGTCTTGGCTCCAGCACACACTCCGGAGAAGGTTGAAGTTGAACTGAACCTGCCGTGCTCGGTTCATGCTGCAGGACAGGCGATTGCCTTGGCACGAGATGAACGCCTCTCCCTGCTCTTTGAATACCTTGTTCCAGCAAAACCCCAACCGGATTTGGGTTTCCTGACGGTGCTTGCAGCACCGCTATGGGCGGAAACGAACGTTTTCGTCCTTGTTGATTCGAGGCGGATTGATTCGCGTCTCTTTCACTTCACCTCCGGAGATAGGCTCGCCAGGGCTGCCTTTCTTGATAAGGTTGGGCTGCAAGAAAGGCCAGGGCTCCGAATTTATGTCAGAGGATATCTTGTCCCGGAAACAGATACCCTGATCTTCGGGCAAGGAGACACGGTCACCATCCTGCCACCAGGGACACCTCTAGGCCTCATGACCAGTCTCGAAAACTTGCTGGAAACTCTTGGTGATAGAGATGTTGTCATGCCCTCCTTTCCTGGCCCTGCACCGGCTGCTTTCGGGGTGCTCTCGGATGAAGGACTCAAAGTCCATGCAATTGACCTCACGCAGGTTCGTTCTGGCGCGGTCTTCAAGCAGGTAGTGGGCACCAAGCTG